AAACAACCGAAATTCATCGCATAGAAGGTAGTGGTAACGATGGCGGTGTTTTATACCGGGAAATGCAGTTAAATGAAATGGATATGAATGACATTGTCAATAGAAAACGAAAACAAGTGCTTTATAACGACGAATATTCTATTTATGGAGTCGATACTGGGAGACGTTTTGAAGATTTTCAAACCCGGGCACCGACAATAGACGATGAATAATAGGCACAGTCTATTATTTCATCATTTTTACCCAAACTTTCTAAATAATTTTTTGCCATCGGCCAAAAACCAAGGTCGATTGAACACTTTAAAAGCCCCTCCCATAACCCCCAAAATATTGTCTTCTCCAATTCATTCTCTAATAACAGCTTCAAATAAAAAGCCTTCTAACCCTTTCACAGCAACTGTTAATTTTAAATTGAAATAAAAACAAACCTTTATATTATTTATGAATATGTAGACAAAATTACAAAAATACTTATCTCAAGTTTTATTAACACAATTTTAATAGATCTTCAATAAAACACTTTATAATATACTTGTTTTTATTGACATGAAAAAAATTAAACAAATTGTTAATCAAAATATAAGAACATTCCGTTTTGATTGGGAGAATGACCCTCATGCTTTCATTTCTCAAACTATTATTAAACATCATAAGTTGTAAACATCATCAACAGAAATCCATCATATTGACGGTGATGGTAAAAACATCGATATTCGCGATATACAGTGGCGGAAATTTAGTTAAGAAAAAATTTTATTAGTAATATTTTTGAAAAAATTTTTTTCATACGTAAAGTTGGAATCCAAATCTTCATATAATTTTGTAGCTCTATTTATTCGCTATCATATGACCACTCATTTATTAAATAAGAGTTAATGATTAGGCAAGCAAAATACAATTTTCTAAAGAGTGTCAAAAATTGCGCGGAAATTTAGTTAAGAAAAAATATCAGACTTTTATTTTTCAAAGTTCCAACATTCGGAAAAATCCATAAAAATTTCAACAAATATATATAATAATATTATAGACAAATAAAAAAATTAGGCCCATATCTCTACTCCGTGTCAAGACTCGGGCACTTCAAAAACGTCTAAAATCAACGTAAAACGCAGGTAGGTCTTTTTAAAAAATATTTTGACCCCTTACAGGTAAAATAAAAATTTGATTTTAGGCTCATTCGAAAGCCCTTAAAATTTGCTACAAGATAGCCGAATCGAATTTTTCAGAAAAAAATTTTTTAGAGAGATACGGACTGCTAATTCAACGAAACAACGAAATACGCTTAAATTACCCCATAAAATGGACTTTACTACTGCTTCTACTGCTTCGTACTGCTTCGTCAAAATCATTCAAAATACTCGATAAACTGCTCATTATTTTTATAAATTTATTTTATCCCGCCTCCTATAAAAATTTTTACACATATGACCAAAACGAGGTCTTTCGATAAGGGGTCGAAAATATTTCTTGAAGTATTGTACCCCGATTTTCTGTTTATTTTTGAGATTTGATATTTCGATTAAGAAAGATGCTACAGACTTCGTTCTTTATACTTTTCTACTCAGTATCGATGTAATTGTTAATAGGAATTTTTATAGAATTTATGGTAGAACGAAAATTGATACTTTTAATTTTAAATAGTTTGAGTTAAGACCTTTCTTTGGGCACCTTCAAATCTTTGTAAAAGTGAGTTTATTATTATACCTCTATCTTTTTTTATTTTTATTGTTTTGTTTTTTATTCCTTTACCTCTCTACTGCGATTTTTATGTATTTATTTTTAAAAAATAATGATAAATCTATCTTAATTTTTTAAAATTGTCGGGGACTATATGATTTTTATTTTTTTGCCAAATTTAAATTCGAGTTTAATGGGAAAAAATATTTTTATACAAGTTAGGCTTTGTTAATTACAAAAAATTACCAAAAATTTGATAGGTACTTTTCCGTTCTAGGGCCAAAAAATTGAGTGCCACCGACTTTGATAAGCTATAACTTTTTCGTATTGATCAAATTTAAATAATCTTATATCTTTGAAAGAAAATATTGACTATTTTGCATTTTTAGAGCATTTTAAATGAATTTATATTTAAATAAAGTTTGGTTTTTGACCATTTCGAGCCCATATAATTTACAATTACTTAGCTCGGAAAGCTCTAGAATGACATATATTTTGTCACTATTTAGGATACCGTATATGCTCGAATAATTACTCTCTCAAATAGTTGCCCCTCTTATTATCCCTTCCAGCGAAAGGTTTTCTTAAATAGCTACTTAAGTGAGATAAAAGTGCAAATTTTTATTCTCTTTTTCTAGGGTTCAGCGGTACCGGTATTCCGAGAAAAAAACGGTATCGGTATTTCGATTGATGATACCGATCCCGATACCGGTACCGACTCGGGATCGGGATTAGCCTAAATCGGTATCGGGATTTGAGTTATTGATACCGATACCGGTACCGATACCGACTCGGGATCGGGATTTAAAAATCGGTATCGGTATTTCCTAAAAAATTTTTTATTAATTATAATCTTTAATAAATAAATTCATTCTGCATTTTGAAAAAGGTTTTAATCAGTAGTAAAATGATAAATTAGCACTATAAAGCTATTTTCGAGACAAAAACATCTCAGGAGCCAATAGAAGACCTTCCAAATTCATCGATATCCACTTTAATCCTCGATATCATCTTGATCTAAATTTATACTCCAAATTCAACTTTATACCTCAAATCATCTTTGGGAATTAGGAGGGATATCGGTAGACTTTTTGGGTGTACTAGGGATACCTCCGATAATCGACTGATATCCTTCAATATGGGGAAACTTTTTAATTAGGCTTCATTCGTTAACAAAACACCTGTTTATTAATAAACATTACTTAATTTTTATGCAAAAATTTTATTCACCGAAGGCGCCAAAATCTATTATTTCCATTCCTTGCGCCGCAGGCGAAAATTTTGTGCATTTTGATGTCCAAGGACAATATTTCTACCTAAGATTGGTCTATTTTTCAACCCGAACCCCCTATTTGTGAATTTTTCAAACCCCGACCCGAATCCCTCTTCTACCATCAAATCCCTTTCTGCGCCGCAGGCGAAAATTTTGAGAATTTTGGAGGACCCATTGTCAGATTTCTTCCATTTTTTGCGCCGCAGGCGAAAATTTTGAAAAATATGGAATAAAATAGTCAATAAAAGTAGTAAAAATAAATATTTACAAAATCGGTATTTTGTCGGTATCCAACGCTAATCCCGATACCGATACCGGCCTCGGTATCGGTATCAGAAAAAACGGTATCGGGATTTAGCATTCGGTATCGGTATCAGTAAAATCGGTATCGGTATTCAAAGAGACCGGTATAATACCGCCCGATACCGGTCGGGATCCCGATACCGCTGAACCCTACTCTTTTCAAAGCCAAAAAAAATTTTTTTTGTTCTCTAATTTTTAAACTAGTAGAAAAAATCTTTTTTCACGTGAGGATTTATGTATTTAATAGATATACACTTTTATATTGACATTTTTATATATCTCTCCAGCCGTTTTATAAATAAAAAGCTAGTCACATGAAATAAAAAAAAGAAAAGAACAAGCAGCTGTAAAAAGTGCGTTCCTCTTATTTTTTGTCTGAAATTTTTTTTTAAATTTTTCTTTCCAGTTTTTAATTTCAATTTTGAAGAATGCTTTTATTTTAAATTTTATTCCTTTGTTCAAATTTATGAGATTAAAATTTAATTTTGAAAAAAGACGGTAAGAATAGGAGGACAACTTACAGAATCAGTGAAAAGAGACAATTCACCGAAATTTATTTAGTTGTGTTATTGTGCTAAAAGTTTGACTATTTTTGGGGCCAAAACTTAAATTACAAGAATGGAAGTGGGGGTTATTTTGAATATTTTTTCGTTTCTATGTGGAATTCCCTTTCGCGGGGGAAAGACCAAGGTAGGACAACCTTGTACCTTTAGTCGGTGAATTGTCTTTTTAGCCGGTGAATTGTCTTTTTAGTAGGTGAATTGTCTTTTTAGTTGGTGAATTGTCTTTTTAGTCGGTGAATTGTCTTTTTAGTCGGTGAATTGTCTTTTTAGCCTCGAATTGTCTCTTTTCGGTGAATTAGTCGGTGAATTGTCTTTTCGGTGAATTTTCTCTGTGAATAGTCCCATTTTCGGCATAATCATGAACACTAAAATACGACCTATTTTTTTTATTTATTTTTCTTTTTTGTGTTCTCTCTCGAAATGATACCAATAAATAAATGCATGTGTTTATGGGGTGTTGACATGTGACCTTTAATATTGATTCAAGCGAAAACGTAAAAACACTAAAAGGAAGCCTTTTGGAGGGTGGTCTTTAAAGTAAAAAAAAAGGAAAGAAAAAAAATTCTTTGACTGTCGATCATTTTATATATGTTTTGCCCCATTTTTCTCTAATCAGTTGTTGATCAATTTTTTATTTTTTTATTGTTTACCGTGTTTGTTTATTAGTCATTTATTTTTGTTTATCTCCTTTTACCCCTTCGAATATTTCCACAGAAAAATTTTTTTCTTGTTGTGTGTGCATTTTATTTTCAATTTTAGGGTTGCTGGCCCGGTTCGGTAGATCGAATCGGGCATCAATTCTGCCCCGTAATAGGCTCGACCGGTCCGGCCCGAAAAAATGAGGCCCGAAAAAATGACTCGAACGTCGGCCCGGTTCAAAAACGGCAACCCTAATTCTAATCAAATTATTTTTTTTCAATTTTTAAAAGTTTTAAATTTAACTTTTTACTCGTCTTTTCTGGTTTTTTTGCTTAGAAGCGATGGCCTCATTTTAAAGAAAATACCTATTTATTTTTTAGTTTCCTCTTCGACAAAATAAAAAATTTTCCGCACTGTGACATTTTTGAAGTTGATGTTTTGAAATATTTCTAAGATTAAAAATCGAAATGTCTAATTTTTTTGTATTTAAGCCTTAAGGGGCAGATTGTCTTATTTATGATTTTTTTCTTTTTTAATTAACCAAAGCTAACCTGAAATTCTAATCCCTTAAGCTCGGAAAGGTTATCCAGTAGAATGTTTATCCCATCTAAAGGTCGGCAAAATCGCATTCCCGGGATCCCGGAACGGGATTTTTTCAACATTTTGTAGGGATGGGATCCCGCGTGATTAATCCCGTAAATCCTGGTAATCCCATTGACGCTAAAAAGGGACGGGATCTCGTAGAATCCCGTACGGGGTCCCGTGCCGAGCTCAGTCCCAACCAATTTTTAAACGCCAATTTTCAGACTTACCTTTTTTACTATTTAAGTAGATCAAAAATTAGTTTCTTAAATTCATTATTAGAAGTCTCTCAATATTCTCTCCCTCTTGCTGTCAAAACATTCAAAATGCGTAATCGTGTGGGTCTACTTACAACGTCTGCTACAGCTTCAATAAATGTAAATAAATTCCTCCCTCGCTCTATGGGCACTATCAGCAAAAATGCATCTTCCAAGAAGGATTTTGGCGCTCCGTGGCTTCAGCAACGGCAATTAGTTGGTGCCTTAAATCAGGTTAAACGATTGCTTTTTGCCTTCTGTTTAGTTGGTCCTTGGGTTATTCGACTTGGTCGAAAACCTTGAAGTCGGGGTTTTTTTGGGCTTTGAAGGCTTGCGAGACAGTTGTCCCAGTCTAGAATAAACTTAACCTCGTAAGAATCGGAGACTGTATGGGGGACCACCCAACCCCGATTTTTCTCGGACTTCGATTTTCATGTTGGAGGGGATTTGCCTTGTGTTTAGTTGGTCCTTGGGTTATTTGACTTGGTGGGTCGGTCCTTTAGTCAAAAACTTGGGGTCGGGGTTTTTGGGCTTTGAAGGCTTGCGGGATGTAGGTCTCAGTCTAGCTCTAGCTTCTAAGATTCGGGAACTGTATGGGGGACCACCCAATCCCTATTTTTCCCGGACTCTGATTTTGGGAAGGGGGTGGGGGTAAAAAATGGAAAAACCTCTCCTCAGGGTGATACCAAAGGAATTAGAAGGTAATTCAATCAAATTTTTAGCAGTTCCACTCTTCTGCCAATTTGCTAAAAGATGATGACAACAACAAAGGAAATAGTGGAGATGGCTTTGTTTTGTTGGATGGGGATAATCTTGGAGGAATGTTTGCTTCTGAATTGCCACCAAAGTCTGCCAGAGGAGGATTGCCAAAATGTACAAAATGTGGAAGGCCTTTGAGAAGTTTGAGGAATACAGTCAATAGTTTTGTTTTAAGTTTTTTATTTAGGGGATTGGGATCCTAATATTTGGGTTGAGGTCAAGGCCGACAAATAAGGAGCAGATAAGGCCACGGATCTTTTTGGGGTATGATTGGGGCTGAGGATTTCTAGAGTTGTGTTTCCTTTGATGATCTTGTATTTAGGTATTCTCGTGGCAGGCTCGAGGATTGCGTCGGATTAGGTTGAGAAAAGTGGGGGGCTTCAGGTCGGGTCTTTGTTCATTTCTCGGTCGGGCTCATTTGGGTAAAACAGTCCGCTTTGTTTTCGGGTAGCCGAACCATCTCATATTAAACTAGTGGGTTCAAGTTTGGGTTAATTTTAATCTCCTTGGTATAGTGATTTTCTTGGGCATGGTTTCCTGTCAATAGGTTTCTCGTTCGGGACCATGTGAGTAAAACAGTCCGCTTTGTGTTTTGGGTAGCCTGTTAAGCTGTTGGGTCTAAGTTTAGGTTCATTTTAAAATTTCCTTTTTCTTGGTCTAGAGAACTGAGGGGTTTTTTCCATTATAGTCCAGGGCAAGGGCGTAACTAGGGTGTCGATTTATGTGGGGGCTAAAATAGGGTAGAAGCTCCCCTGGCTGCGCACTTGTACTAGAGTCTAAAAATTAATCTAACCTTTTTTTAAGTCAACAACAATCTATATGAATGTACAGATTGCAATATCTTCTATAGCCGTAGAGTCGGAGGTGGTGGTTCTTCTGCAGATCAAACCTATCAAAGCTTGTTGCGATCTCTTCAATCTTTTGGCCCTCCTCAAACACCAAAAGAGATCACTGCGTACCTAGACAATTTTGTTGTTGGCCAGGATGCGGCGAAGAGGGCGCTTTCTTTGGGAGTCTACGAACATTACATGTATTTTTTGATTTTAAAAATTTTTGAAAAATTTTTTTAAAGTCGTGTTTGGTCAAATGAACAGCTTCAATATGTTTCTTCTCGAAAACAGACTACAGAAATGCAACAATCTACTGCTGCATTTCAACATGGCTTGATTAGTAGACAAAACTCTAATATTGCACATCTTCAAACTTCGTTCAGCCCAGACGGTTTTTTTTTCTTGTTTTTGATGGGGAATTGTGCGTAGATAGGGGAGAAATGGATGTATAGATAAAGGATTGGGAAGTTTGGGCTTGAGATAAAAAAATGTTTTTTGATGGGGAGTAGGGTTTGAGGTTTTGAGTCGGGCGCACGTTCGAGTCATTTTTTCCGGGCTGCCCGACCGAGTCTTTTTCGGACCAAAATTCAATGCCCAATTCGATTTTAAGGGCCGGATTGGGCCCTTACCCTAATTGGGAGGCAATCAGATTTACCTGTGTTTTTTCTGAGGCACTCATTAACATTGGATAGCTTATATTTCTGACGATTCATTTATCCAAAACATTTTTTTGTTTAGTTATGGTTCGTTTCCAAGGAGCATCGCAAGGACGGTCAATGTCTCAACCACCATATTCAAAAAGTAAAAGTAAAGTTTATTTTTCAAACAATTTTATAAAAAAATTTTTTAAAGAAAAGAATGTTTCTTCATTCACCAATTTGGCTGGAATTACTAAAGAAGATCAAATTCATCTAGATAAAGCTAACATAATGCTTCTTGGACCGTCTGGTGTTGGTATGATTTTACACGTTATTTGTAGTAAAAAAATTTTTTTTCTCTAAGGGAAAACCTATATTGTGAAAGTTCTTGCCAAAATTTTGGATGTTCCTTTGGCTCATTGTGATTGGTATATTTTTATTTAAAAATTGGATATATTTTTTAAGTCTTCTCTTGACTCTGTCTGAAATCCTACTGATAGATCCTATTGATGCATAGGAATTTGATTTATTAAGAAGCAGATCGGACCATGTCGGCTTCCTCATATTCTGTCAATAAGGTCCAGGGCTGGGACATTTTCCTCAGATTTCCGATTTTTTAACCCTGCTGACATAAGTTATGGGGACTTTCTGAGTTATAGTGGCCTTCAAGTTGACCCTTCTGAGTTATCCGCTTTTTTGACCTTTGACATGAGTTATGAGGAGGAGAGCCCATTTCTTTATAACTTACGTTTTGTCAATGAGGCTGCATTGGCAAAACGGGGGTTCTTATTGTTAACCTCTTATTTGTTGAATATGGGTTTTTCAAAATAGAGGGAACACGGACCAAGACATGATTTCTGCTTGAGTTTTATTGCCATTTTCTGCTTTAAATCTCTTTAAATTATTTCTTTTTTTTAGCACTTCAATGACCCAAGCAGGATATGTAGGAGAAGATGTTGAATCAGTATTGCAAAAATTATTGCAAGAAGCAGATGGTGATGTAAATAGAGCACAAAGAGGAATTGTATTTTTGGATGAAGTTGACAAAATTGCAGCAACTCGTGATGTTGCTAGTCATGCATATCGAGATGTTAGTGGTGAAGGTGTTCAACATGCAATGCTGAAAATGGTTGAAGGTTTTTGGTTTTTAGAAAAAAAAATTTTTTTGGGACTTTTCCGTTAATCGACCGCAAACTGAGTGAGTACCAGCAGACTTTGAACAGCTATAACTTTTTAATGTTTGCTCTACTACAATTGAATTTCATATCATTCGGAAGCCCTCAATAAGCTCTATCTTTTACCTATGGATCAGCTTTGATCACTCATAAAAAAGTTATAACACGCTAATAGTGTAAAACAACGATTTCTTGCACTTATTGACTTGTGACTTTTTTATGAGTGATCAGAGCTGATCCATACATTTGTTAAAAGATAGAGCTTATTGAGGGCTTCCGAATGATATGAAATTCGTTTGTATTAGAGCAAGCATTAACAAGTTATAACTGTTCAAAGTCGGCTGTTACTTAGTTTGCGGTCGATTAACGGAAAAGTACCAAAAAATTTTTTTTTGAATTTTTTGGAATTTTTTTCTTCAGGTTCTGTGATATCTGTCAAAAATGGTCGGAAAGGTCAACAGGTTTAATACTTTTTTGATATTTTTCCCAAATAATTTTTTTGTTTTTTGAGGACACCGTTCCAATGGATACTACCGATATTCTCTTCATTGCTTCTGGCGCATTTACCGGACTTGAGAAGTTGATAAGCAGGCGACTAGACAAACATATGCTTGGATTTGGTATTTTTTTTAGAGGAAAGTGGCTTGAGAAAAAAATTTATTTTTGTAAAGGAACCCCTCCACCAGTCAATACAATAACTAAAGACGATGATCAACAACTTGAACTTGCCAATGAAAAACGTGATCGTTTGTTAAAACAAGTTCAGGCTGATGACTTGACGAGTAAATTTTTAATTAAGGTTTTTAAATGATTTTTTTTCTTTTTTAGAGTTTGGAATTATCCCAGAATTGGTTGGCAGATTCCCAATTAGAGTACCATTCACCAGTCTCGATAAAGAAAGTTTAAAACGTGTATTAACTGAGCCAAAGAATTCAATGCTTGCCCAAGAACAAACTTTCTTCAAAATGCATGGGGTAAGTAAATATTTTTGGGGATCATTCATAAGTTGGACAATGTAATATCTGGGTGTTTGTTGAGTAGGGCAGCTTATAATCTCTCTCTTTAACTTAAGAGGGGAATAGAAGCGGACCATCTTTCATGATTTTTCAGAAAAGAAAAAGACTAATACTTTGGATGGTTATAATTGGGCCCAAACTCACATCAGTTTCCAATGAAAGTCTGGGGTTCTCTTTTGAATGATACCAAAAACCATTCGATAGCTTATGGTCCCATGTTAGCTTGAAAACTAGGGAGTAAACGAAAGTCGACGGTTAGAGTGAGGCGTCCCATAATTTACCCTGAATTAATTCTTAAGATTTAATTTCTAATTTTTCAGGTCAAATTAGAGATTACTGATGATGCATTAGACGAAATGGCCCAAATGGCATTAAAAGGCCGAGTTGGGGCACGTGCCCTAATGTCCATTCTATATAATGTCTTGTGGGAAGCAAAATATAATTTGCCTGGTTCTGATTATGATACAGGTTTTTTGGGGGTTTTTTGACCCAAAGTAAAAAATTTTTTCTTTCTAAAGTTCAAATCACTGGTTCAGCAGTTCGCGGTGAAGGACCACCATACGAGGTAACACATAAAGAAGCATCGACAGCAGCAACAGGTTCAGCGTCTAATAACACAGCAGCAGCAGAATATTCAAACTCACAACGGCAGCATCAACAACATCAGGTTTTGTCATCACCGGCACAGATTGCTGTTTAAAAAGTTTTCATCAAAAAATTCTAGGAAGGAAAAATTGTTCGAGGAATTGGTGGTGGTGGTGAACATAATAATAAAACTATTGGATGAGAGAAGAGAAAACTATGTGAATAATAAAAAACTCGAACAACAACAACGAAGGATGCGGCTCGTAAAAATTAAATATAAATGATTTTTTTGGGTAAGAATTTTTGTGTATAGATATTTTTTGGGTGTTTTTTGTACCTCTATACATATACACGTATGGTGTGCCACAAGCTTGTCTCCCTCTCTCCTTTTTTTCGTAATTTGGGATTTGTGGAATAAGCTTTAAACGTAATTTGGGATTTTTTAGAATTTAACAGCAAATTTTTTGTACAAAAATTTTTTGGAGGACGAAAAGGGTAGAAGTGACATTTGATCCCAAAGTTCAAAATTTTTTTAACTACACAAAAAAAATTATTCCACAATTCTTAAATAAATTTAAAATATTATCAAAAGACTGATAGGAAAGTCGGGGGATTTTTGTCAACGTTTTTGGGCCTTTTTGAAAAATTTTTTTTGATCCTCACGAATTTTCCTTGTTAGTCATATTTTAGAAAAACTGCCTCCAAATGTGTAAATATATAATAAAGTGCAGTTTCAAAATTATAAAAGCAAGCATTTTTTTGGTTTTACCTTTTACGGTTTACCTTTTCCCGGTTTTTTGAAGCAACCGGGAACGGGAATTCCTGGTTTTCCCGGTCCGAGTCCCTCCCGGTCAACTTTCAGAACCCCTTTCCCGGACCCGGTTATTTTTATACCTGGAAAAATACTAGCAGCGTATTGTAAAATTTTCTCAAAATTTTTGCCTGCGGCGCTGAAAATGGATGAACAACATTCAAAAAAGGAGTTAAAATCGCAACATTTCAGCTCGTCGGAGTGCATCGAACCATAACATTATGTCCCGGATTCGATTTCAACAAAGTTACAGCTCGCCAATACATTGGCCTTGCGGTACGTCGACTCCCCAATAATTAAAGACTAAAGAAAAGAAATTGTTCTTGTATAATATGTAGAGTTAAAATTAAAAAAGAACCTGTTTCGATGCAACAGTCTTGTTTTTAATCGTTTCCTCATAGACGACAAGTTGTTCGGCCTGTTCATTCTTCTCTTTTTTCAGCTCCGCATTTTCAACCCGCAAATTCTCCAACTCATCGTTAACCTCAGAAGTTGAAGATGACACTAATATGATTTAAACAACAGAATAAAAAGTAAAAACAAAACCTTTGACTGCTTCCTCCATTTGTTTAACAACCACAAAATCACCACTAGCTTCATCATCTTCAGAAACATGAACCTCCTTATTATCAGTTTCCTTCTTTGGACTTTGCCTTTTAGAATGATTACGCCTCCCTTTTACCTTGCCTTTTTCTGCAACCAAAGGTTTAGCCATATCATTTCCATAAACCTATAATTTTATTTAAATATTAAATCATAAGGATTAATATATTACCTCTTCAAATGTTGTTTCTCGCGTTAATAATTTATAAATAGTAAAGCATGATCCAATAACGATAGCAACAACAGCAACCAAACCTCCGATTGTAATAATATCCATTTTTCACTAGAAAAAAATTATACGTAAAAAAGAAATAGAAAAGTACGACTGATAATGCTCAAAGGACTGATAATTTTGACTGATTGTAAGTCAGACAAACACTTCATCATATATTTGACAAAATAAGTTTTGGTAATTCGTTTGATGACATTACGACATTTTAATTTGAAACGGCCAGTTTGTCGCGAGTCGGAAGTTCCAGTTGAGTCCCTCTGGAAAATTTGAACCTCATTGGAATTAAATTTATTTTTACCAGAATATTCGACAGAAACAAACTTTCTTTATTTAATTTTGAAGATAATGATAAGATTTATTCTGATTCAGAATCGTGCAGGTTTATTTTGATAACTAAAACATTTTTTGATCCAATTTTTATATTATTTAGGAAAAACTAGGCTAGCGAAATGGTACATGCATTTTGATGATGACGAAAAGCAAAAATTGATTGAAGAAGTACATGCAGTAGTTACCGTTCGTGATGCAAAGCACACAAATTTTGTTGAGGTTTTTATTTGACAAAATTTTTTTATGTCTAAAAAAGGGTACTTTCACGTTATCCCTATAGACGCTGACTTTTTTGCAGACACATTTATGTACGGAATAGTCAGACTTTCCTACTCAATTTCACTCTATTTTCCTGGGCATCATTCAGTGAGATAATTCTGTGCATATAAATGTGTCTGCAAAAAAAGTCCGAAAATTTGTAGGGATAGTGGAAAATTACCAAACAAAATTCTTTTTAGTTTCGCAATTTCAAAATTGTTTATCGGAGGTATGCCGGACTTTATTTTTGTATTTGTGTTGACATAATGGACAACAATTTGTATTACCTCGAAGCAATACACAATTTTGTGGAGGTTTGATTTAAGAGATTTTGATAAACAAAATTTAAAAAAAATTTCAGGTCCTTAATGAGTCTACAAATTTTCGGACTTTTTTTGCAGACACATTTATATGCACAGAATTATCTCACTGAATGATGCCCAGGAAAATAGAGTGAAATTGAGTAGGAAAGTCTGACTATTCCGTACATAAATGTGTCTGCAAAAAAGTCAGCGTCTATAGGGATAACGTGAAAGTACCCTTTTTTAGACATAAAAAAATTTTGTCAAATAAAAACCTCAACAAAATTTGTGTGCTTTGCATCACGAACGGTAACTACTGCATGTACTTCTTCAATCAATTTTTGCTTTTCGTCATCATCAAAATGCATGTACCATTTCGCTAGCCTAGTTTTTCCTAAATAATATAAAAATTGGATCAAAAAATGTTTTAGTTATCAAAATAAACCTGCACGATTCTGAATCAGAATAAATCTTATCATTATCTTCAAAATTAAATAAAGAAAGTTTGTTTCTGTCGAATATTCTGGTAAAAATAAATTTAATTCCAATGAGGTTCAAATTTTCCAGAGGGACTCAACTGGAACTTCCGACTCGCGACAAACTGGCCGTTTCAAATTAAAATGTCGTAATGTCATCAAACGAATTACCAAAACTTATTTTGTCAAATATATGATGAAGTGTTTGTCTGACTTACAATCAGTCAAAATTATCAGTCCTTTGAGCATTATCAGTCGTACTTTTCTATTTCTTTTTTACGTATAATTTTTTTCTAGTGAAAAATGGATATTATTACAATCGGAGGTTTGGTTGCTGTTGTTGCTATCGTTATTGGATCATGCTTTACTATTTATAAATTATTAACGCGAGAAACAACATTTGAAGAGGTAATATATTAATCCTTATGATTTAATATTTAAATAAAATTATAGGTTTATGGAAATGATATGGCTAAACCTTTGGTTGCAGAAAAAGGCAAGGTAAAAGGGAGGCGTAATCATTCTAAAAGGCAAAGTCCAAAGAAGGAAACTGATAATAAGGAGGTTCATGTTTCTGAAGATGATGAAGCTAGTGGTGATTTTGTGGTTGTTAAACAAATGGAGGAAGCAGTCAAAGGTTTTGTTTTTACTTTTTATTCTGTTGTTTAAATCATATTAGTGTCATCTTCAACTTCTGAGGTTAACGATGAGTTGGAGAATTTGCGGGTTGAAAATGCGGAGCTGAAAAAAGAGAAGAATGAACAGGCCGAACAACTTGTCGTCTATGAGGAAACGATTAAAAACAAGACTGTTGCATCGAAACAGGTTCTTTTTTAATTTTAACTCTACATATTATACAAGAACAATTTCTTTTCTTTAGTCTTTAATTATTGGGGAGTCGACGTACCGCAAGGCCAATGTATTGGCGAGCTGTAACTTTGTTGAAATCGAATCCGGGACATAATGTTATGGTTCGATGCACTCCGACGAGCTGAAATCATAACTGCGCGTCATGGATTCGTGATCTTCAACCATGTTAAGCTCACAAAAGCGGTACATTGGCCTCGCGATACATTGGGGTTTGCTATTTTTGTTTATTTATACTTACACTTAAGATGGATGATGAAAATAAGAAACTGCGTTCTAAAAACGATCAATTCTCCGCACAATTAGAAAAACAGCTTAGGGAGTTGGAACAATTGGGCGCTGAGAATGCTCAATTGAAACGAGAGAAGAACGAGCAAGACGAACGTCATGTCATCTTTGAACAAACTGTGAAGAACAAGCTTATTGAGACTCACCAGGTTTGTTTTTCTTTTTTTTTTCTTTGATTTAATTGTTTTTAGTTGGGTGATGAAAACAAAAAGTTACGTTTGAAATGTGAACAATTTTGTGAGCAATTGGAAAAGAAGAAAACAGAGATTACTAAGTTTTGCGAAGATCGCGACATGGCTATGAAAGAGGTGCTGAAACTTCGTGAAGAGCGTGACCTTGCAAAAACTTTTATGGAGAAAGCAGCTGCCGACATTCATTCAAAAGATATTATGATTCGGAATATTGAGACTAACTTTGAACATCAACGTCAAGCTCTTCAAATTGAATTCAATGTTAGCTTTTTGTTTTGATATAAAATCTGGTATTTATTGGTTATCCCAGACCATTTTTTGCGGGCATATATTTGTTGTTTCACAAATATAAAACAGATATTACCCCAACTCCCAATATCTCCCCTAAATGTCCACAAAAACTTACGCAAATACTTATATTGAATAGAGAAAAGTTATGTATGGGCGTTCTGATCATTATGATTATTACTAAATATTTCGCAAAAATTGGTCTGACAAGGGAACATTTCGAACTGTGAGTAAAAAGTTCGAAATAAAAGTTATACCATCGTGTAGAGCATCGTCGAAAACCTTTATGGTTTCCGGCTTTTTCGGCTCCGACCCCCATTTCGAAAAGTTATAGGTCTTCAAAGTTTTCGTTTTTTGGAGCGGTTGAGTCGCCCTCATAAAGAGAGAATTTTTTTTTATTAGGAGAGAAATAAGACTCCCATCCTCCTTTTTTCCTTTCCTTTTCTTTTCCAATATTAGTTAAAGAAAG